GGGGGGATAGGCACAGGAGCCAAACATAGCAGAGACACAGGCAGGGCTGCCATCAGGGGGTATGGCCGATACTGATATGAGGGGCCTGGGCCACCGGGGGCAGAGGAGGCTGGGCCCCAGGTGCGCTCTGTGGAGTCTCAGGGGGGTGCGTTACTAATCCATGAGTCCAGCGCGTCACTGATCCCTGAGTCCAAACAGCAAAAAGTTTTCCCGACACAATCGCCAGCCAGCATGCAAAAAAAACTTGTCTCACCGCTAAGGTTAAAAACAGAGGTTTAGATACACGTCTTCTGCAGAAAATGTGAAAGTCGCACAGCCGCGCCAAGGCACCTCTAGATAGTGCGGTCCTAACTCTAATCTATGAGAGTCTCCATCTTGGAGCACATGGGGGCAAAAGATCAAATTGGGTGCAGGTTTATCAGGAGGAAGTCCAACCTCCCTTAAAGGCACAGAGACGCACAAGGGATCCCGCACATAACAAGGCAGCTGAGACCCCCCCATGCATCACTGCGCCAAATCAGTCAAGCAAAACAAATGGCAAACGCACTCATCAATTCATTACTAGCTTTACAGCAAGGTGCACATGGAAGGGTCTAATACAGTACAAACAGCAAAAAGTTTTCCCGGCACACTCGCCAGCCAGCATGCAAAAAAAAAAAACTTGTCTCAACGCTAAGGTTAAAAACAGAGGTTTGGATACACGTCTTCTGCAGGAAATGTGAAAGTCGCACAGCCGCGCCAAGGCACCTCTAGATAGTGCGGTCCTAACTCTAAACTATGAGAGTCTCCAAGAGGTTGGGCTTCCTCCTGACAAACCTGCACCCAATTTGATCTTTTGCCCCATGTGCTCCAAGATGGAGACTCTGATAGTTTAGAGTTAGGACCGCTCTAAACCGTACATACTTCATGTGTACAGCAGCTAGAGGGAGTGCAGGATAACATATTGTTTATTAGCACAGCTAAATGGGGGAAAGTCAAATGTGTTTGACCAACTTTGACGTTTCAGTTGGATGGGGTTCAATAACAAAGGTGATATGTGTGGCAGTAATGAGGTCTAGGCACTCCAAAACTGAGTCAGGAAACCCTCATTCTGTTAAAATTCCCCAGTCTGCAAAACAATTACATTTAAGTCTTTTTGCCTGTAGGGTCAGCAGAGAATCAACCCATTCTATACACAATGCAAAGATACCTAACATGCGTAGCGCAATCCTTGTTTTCGCACGTAGGCGCACCAATGCATGTTTACGTTAATGCGTGTGCGCTTGCAGGGGTGGGGAACTTACTTTTTTTTTTTACATTTATTTTAATTTTATTTTTTGTTAAACTTTTTTTCTGTACTAAATTGCTATCACATAGGTGGACTTACACGCCCCCTATGTGAAAGCATACTAGTGGTAAAAGGTTTTCTTTAAGGTGGCACTAAGGGTCTATTAGTCTCCAAATAAGCTAGTGGAGTGCAGATCGTGCTCCAATAGTTTCTTCCCCTGGCTTCTGCAGCAAGAGAATGACAGCTGAGGGACTGGATGTGATGCAATCAGTGTTGCTTCCGGCCCCACTCAGCGGGGAGGAAAGCAGTGAACAGATGTCCGCCAGTCTCTTTCTCTGCTTCCGGCCGAACCCTATGATGCTGGTCTCATTCCCGCAGAAGGGGCAGTCGAGCCAGGGAAGGAAGGCGGGAGTGTTGGCCGGGGGGTCTTTTGTCCGGGTTTCAGCTGCCATGAAACCCGAACACAACATTCAAAACCCGGACTGTTCGGTTGAATCCCAGACAGGTGGCAACCCTAGCCCAGCCCGACACAGTTCTGCTCTCCATCCTGACAGCCCCACTTTGCATCCTGACTCCTCCTGT